CTGGCCAGCGTGGCTAGGTGGTTGAGCATCAACCTATGAGCCAGGAGGTCACGGTTCAATTCCCAGTCAGGGCACAGGCCCGGGTTGCGGTCTCCATCCCCAGTGGGGGGCGTGCAGGAGGCAGCCGGTCCGTGACTCTCTCATCATGGATGCTTCTATCTCTCTCTCCCTCTCCCTTCCTCTCGGAAAGCAACAAAGTATAATTTTTTAAAAAAGAGAGAGAGAGAAGGAAGAACTCCCGTGGCCGTGCCGGGGAGTGGCTGACCCCCGTCTGTCAGGGTTACGCTGGGATTTCTCCTGCTCTGCGCCTCCGGGGCCTCCGGGCCATGGCTCACTCTGTCTCGCACCAGTTCCTTCGCTGGGAGCAGGTCACGCCCGCCTGTCATGCCCTCTCACCAGGGTGTGCCGAGGGTGCAGTTGGGGGCGGCATCAGAAAGCGTCCCCCAGAAAGGTCGAGCGCCTGTGCCGACACCCCCTCCCCCGCCCCCCCAGGTTTCAAAAGCTTCTCCCTGACATCCGTGGAGCTGCAGATGCTGACCAACTCGTGCGTCAAACTCCAGACGGTCCACTGCATCCCCCTGACCATCAACAAAGAAGGTGGGACACCCCCCTCCGCGCATCCCTTTCTGCTGTCCGTCTGTCCTGGGACCGTGGCCTTCCGTCCCCATGGGCCTCTCCCAGGAGTGGACAGGGCAGGGGCGGAGCTGTCTGGCCCCAAGGCTGGTGATTGAGGAGACCCATTGCCCCGCCCCCACCCCAGACACTGCTCAGACTCCTCGTGCACCAGGGCTGGCCCCCTCCCCTGTCCCCGTCTGTCCTGGGGACTGTGGCCTTCCGTCCCCACGGGCCTCTCCCAGGAGTGGGCGGGGCAGGGCCAGAGCTGTCTGGCCCCACGGCTGGTGATTAAGGAGACTCAGGGGTTAAGGCATCGATCCAGGAACCAGGAGGTCACGGTTCAGTTCCGTCCTGGTCAGGGCACATGCCCACCTTGTGGGCTCGATCCCCAGTAGGGGGTGTGCAGGGAGCAGCCAATCAGTGATTCTCTCTCATCATCGATATTTCGATCTCTCCCTCTCCCTTCCTCTCTGAAGTCAATAAATATATATTTAAAACAAACAAAAAAAAAACCCGCAAAAACACTAGATCCTAAGGTCCCCAAGACAGCCCACGTGGATGTTTCTGGTCTGTGGCGTCGCCTTGCCCCCCTGCTGGGCACATGGCGACCACAGGGTGCAAAAAATGCTAGATCCTAAGGTCCCCAAGACAGGCCACGTGGATGTTTCCGGTCTGTGGCGTCGCCTTGCCCCCCCTGCTGGGCACATGGCGACCACAGGGTGCCCCCGAGGGCTGATGGGGGAGCCGAGCCTGTCCCCGGCCGCCCTCCTGCAGGACGGACAGACGCTCACCTCTCTGTCTCTCGCACAGACGATGAGTCTCCCGGCCTCTACGGCTTCCTGAACGTCATCGTCCACTCGGCCGCCGGCTTCAAGCAGAGCTCAAGTAAGTGGCCGGTCTGGGAAGGAAGGCGGCCGGGCGGGCGGGGAGCCAGAGGGTGTGGGACCTGGGAGATGACTCCATGGCCATCAGGCGGCTGTGAGCCCTGAGCCCTGGAGGTGCGGCCGGGTGTGGAGCTGTTTTCCTGGGGCGGACTTTGCCCTTTCCCAGGCCCGTCTCCGGTCCTGCGAGCAGGCGCGCTGACCCCTGCTGGTGGGACTTGTCACTGCAGGGGCTGGAGTTGGCTACGGACAGACCGACTAGTGAGCGAGGCCCCAGGCGGGGAGGGCGGCGGTCAGGAGCACGTGGGTCCTGATGGGCAGAGTCGCTTTGGCTGCTCTGAGGAGTCCCTCTCGGGGGCCTCTCCCAGCTACTGGAGTAGGCAGAGCAGTGAGAGCCGGTCACCTGTCCCTCCCGGTGCGCACACACCCACCTGCAGTGGGCACACGTGTTTAAATTTACTGAAGACCCTCAGGCCATACCCTTGCGATGGACGGATTGCTCGGTGTGCAGGTGACACCCCTGCAAGGCTGCAGCATGCACAGCTGTTCCGGGCGCCTCTCGGGCTGTCCCCCACCTAAACGCTGGTGTGTCCAGGGGGCACCCGTCCTGCCTCCCTCGGTGCACAGACTCCCTTCCTCCTAGTCCCAGGGGCCCTCCCATCCACAACCCAGTGGAGCCATAGCTGGTGTGGCTCAGTGGATAGAGCGTCGGGCCGCAGAGGGAAGGGTCTCGGGTTTGAATCTGGTCGAGGGCACGTACCTTGGTTGCAGGTTCCCCGGCCCTGGTCAGGGTGCGTGTAGGAGGCAACTGATCCATGTGTCTCTCTCACATTGATGTTTCTCTCATCTTCCACTCTCTCTAAAAATCAGTGGAAAAAAATAGCTTCGGGTGAGGATTAACCAAAGAAAGAAAGAAAAAATCAAGATCATTTTTTCTGATTTCAAACATAATGCCTGCTCTTTTGAATGTGAGTTGCCCGGGCAATGTGGCTCAGTGGTTGAGCGTCGACCTATGAACCAGGAGGTCACAGTTCAATACCACACATCCCCCCACACACACACCCCCACCCCGCTCAGGGCACATGCCCGGGCTCTGGGCTCGATCCCCACTAGGGGGCGTGCAGGAGGCAGCCCATCAGTGATTGTCTCTCATCATTGATTGATGTTTCTCTCTCTCTCTCCCTTCCCCTTCCTCTCTGAAACCAATTAAAAAGTACATTTTTTAAAGTGTGGGCCGTGTGGTCACCGTGTGGTCACCCTCTGTGTCGCCCCCGCAGATCTGTACTGCACCCTGGAGGTGGACTCCTTTGGGTATTTTGTGAACAAAGCCAAGACGCGGGTCTACAGGGACACGGCCGAGCCCAACTGGAACGAGGTGAGGCGCCCCTTCCCAGCGTTCTTGGCTGCTGCCCTTGTCCTGGAAGGAGCCCGAACCCCCAGAGGCTCCCCAAGGCTTCCCCCGAAGGCCGCGCATTCCGGGAATCTCCTGGGGGAGGGGTGGCTTGCCCGGGAGATGTTATCTGCATCTTCCCGAGAACTTTGCCCTCCCTCCCCCATGACAAAGAAATGACCGATTTTGCTGGAGGAGTGTTTGGAAAAAGAACTTAAAAGGGCCTTTTGTGCTGCCTTTGTTATTGCTGAGTGTTTACTTGGTAAGTTTCCATGGCATTTTTCCCGCGAAGTTGGAACGAGCCTTCTGTGACCCACTTTATTTTTAGCTTTGAGAGCGGTTGGGTGACCCACTTGCCCAGCGGGCCTGCCTGGAGCCGTTGAGGGCAGCGTGGCCAGTCTCGATGAAGCCCCCAGATCTTTGAGAGGCGCCATTTCCAGGCCCCTGGAGCAGCCGTTGGCCCTCAGGCCTCCTGCTTGAGGGTGGGTGGAGGCCGCCAGGCTGCCCAGAGCTGCCACCACCACGCCCACCGCCCCTCCCCTTCCCTGCAGAGGGGGAAGCTAAGACCCACCAGGCTGCCTGGTCCCTGATGGGCCCTGCGACTGGTGGGGTGGTGGGGCCAGAAAACCAGGTGTCAGTTCCCAGCATCCACTGCTCAGGCCATTAGACTTGCTGCCTCCTTGGGGTTGGGGCCTGAGAAGCTGAGGGCATTGCCTGGTCGCGGGAGCCCCGGGCGTCCCTGCAGGAAGGGCTGCGTGAGGGACGGGTCAGAGCCGGGAGCATCCGTCACAGAAAGCTTTGCAGAGAGCAAGAAGGTCGTGACCCAACGGGCAGGGAGGAGGAGGGTTCCAGACATGCAGCGAGCTCAGGTGCGAGCTGGAGTGGGGGCAGAGGGGTGTGTGGGACCCCGGCACAGGAGTGCCACAGCAGTGGGTCACCCAGCAACTGCCCAGGCAGTACCTTCAGCGTCTCTAGGGGTCTTACCTGTTCCTGGCACACACAGCCCCGCCCCAACCCCATTCCGGCTCAGAAATACCTGCTTTCTCCCCCGCCCTCCGCCCCCCACTCTGCTCCATATCCCACTAAGAACCCATGCCCAACCCTCACTGCTTTAGCTCAGTGAATAGAGTTTTGGCCTGCTGACTGAAGGGTCCCAGGTTTGATTCCTGGTCGAGAGCACATGCCTGGGTTACAGGCTCCTTCCCCAGTCGGGGGGCATGCAGGAGGCAGCTGATCCATGACTTTCTCTCATCGTTGATGTTTCTATCTCTCTCCTTCTCCCTTCCTCTCTGAAATCAGTAAAAAAAATCCTATATAATAAAAGCCTAATATGCTAAGTGTCCTACCATTCGACCAGTCGCTATGACACACACTGACCACCAGGGGGCAGACGCTCCGACCGGTAGGTTAGCTTGCTGCTGGGATCCGGCTGATGGGGACTGGGCAAGACTGGCCAGACACGCCCTGGAGCCCGCCCACGGCCCCTCCCCAGCCCGATCATGAACTGGTGGGGTCTCTCGGCCTGGCCGGCGCCCTCTTGCAATCGGGGACCCCTTGGGGGATGTCGGAGAGCCAGTTTCGGCCCGATCCCCACAGGCCAGGCCAAGGGACCCCCGGGCCTCTAGTATATATATGCCTAAAAAACACCCAGGCCCACAGAAGCATTGGTGTGAGGTGCAGCATGACCTGAAGGTCTGTGGGTGACGGAGGAGAAAGGTGACACACTTCCCAGCAGACACCCGAAAGCCTTTGGGGCAGGTCTTTCCTCTGAAGTCCCCCTCTCTCCCGATCACCTCCTGTGTCCGTGGCTTTTTCCCTTTCAGATATAGAAAGAGCAGCGTCAGGTCCACAACAAAGTGGAACAGAAAGGACTGCGGTTTCCCATTATACCCTCTCCCCCCCCACACACACACACATACCTGCACGCACACACACACACACGCACACAACACCTGCACGCACATATACACCTGCACACACACATGCACAGCCCCTGGGTGGGACATGTGCTAGAGTCAGCAAACCTACGCGGATACATCATCGCCTCCCAAAGGCCGTACATCCGATGTCTGCCTCTGGAGCCCCTCCCCGGAGCTGGTGCAGCCGTGTGGGGACCCGCCGCCCCGTGAGATGCTGGCTTCGGGGGCTGGGATTGGGTTTGAGAGTCATTTGGCGCTTGCCGCTTGGATCAGTGGTTGCCGGCTCCTCCCCCGCCCGGGCCCTGGTCGGGGCTCGTGCAGGAGGCAACCCATCAGTGTGTTTCTCTCACATCGGTGTTTCTCTCTGTCTCTCCCTCTCTCTTCCACTCTCCCTAAAAATCAGTGGGAAAATGTCCTCAGGTGAGGATTAACAACAACGACATGAGTCATTCGGAGCTTCCAGAAGCATCCAGACAGGGTCGCGGTGTGATGCTCTCAGGCCGCAGCGTCTGGGGTCTGCATCCCTGGGCTGCAGTGGGGGCGGCCTCCAGGCCCGGTCCTCCGGGGGCAGCGAAGGAGCGGTTTGTGAGACGCCGCCCCGCGGAGGGCCCCTGCGGCCGCGGCAGGGACCGCCGCCCCCGGACCCGGCTGTTAACGTGGGGCTGTCCTTTCCCGGCGCTGCAGGAGTTTGAGATCGAGCTGGAGGGCTCCCAGACCTTGAGGATCCTGTGCTACGAGAAGTGTTACAACAAAACGAAGATCGCGAAGGAGGACGGCGAGAGCACCGACAGGATCATGGGGAAGGGCCAGGTCCAGGTGAGGCTGCGCCACCTCCGCCCGTCTGTCTGTCTGTCTGTCTGTCTGTGTGAGTGTCCGTTAGGCCCCAGTGTGTCCCCAAAGGAAGTCCAGTTCCACTTGTTTATCCAGCTGGGCTTTGGTTCCTCGAGGCAAACGGTTTTGAGGCCGGCGCTTCTGGGAGGAGCGTAACGACCTTGCCCTGGCTGGTATGGCCCAGTGGTGAGAGCGTCGGCCTGGGCACCGAAGGGTTTCAGGTTCAATTCCTGGTCAAGGGCGCGCACCTGGGCTTCAGGTTCGATCCGATCCCTGGCCCTGGTTGGGATGCACGCAGGAGGCAACCAATCAGCGTGTCTCACCCACCTTGGTGTTCCCCTCTCTCTGTCCTCTCCCTTCCTTTCACTCTCTCTAAAAATCAATGGAAAAATATCCTTGGGAGAGGACTTAAAAATAACAATAATAAAAATAGACTTCATTTATCACCAGTAGCGCAGTTGTAGAACATTCCCATCACCCCAAAGCCATGTCCTTGTTCCCACGGCAGTCACTTCCTGTCCCCCCGACCCAGGGGCTCCGAGAGGAGTGTAGGGAGCCCTGTCCTGGGGCTTTGCCACAGGGGAGGGGGGTGCGGCTCAACTCTGACCCCCGACAAGGAACAGGGGATTTCTAGCCCAGGAGTAGGGTGACGGGGTGTCAGTGGACGGAATCAGAGAAAACATCAGGGGGGGAGGGTTCTGGCTGACCGGACCTAATGGGGCTCCTGTCAGAGGCAGGCCAGGCCGGAGTCAGGGGGTCAGACATCACCTGGGGGCGGGGCCTGGGGTCAGACATCACCCGGGGGCCAGAGGAGAATAAGAAATTGGGTCAGTTGTTAAGGGCCATCAGATAGCAGGGATGGCCTCTGGCCGAACTGACTTAGCAGGATTCTTCTGTCTTATCACTGGGCTGGTCGTAGCAGGATTCTTCTGTCTTATCACTGGGCTGGTCGGTGTCTGATCTGTGGTCATTGGTGGTGGAGAAGGAGGCTGGGCCCCGCCCCTGGCCCCTGCCCCGGAGGGAGGGCTGATGGGAAGTCTGTCCGTGAGCATCGTCAGCCAGGAAGGAATCCCGCAGGGCGCGGGGAGAGGATGTTTGTGACTCAGGCCCGAGTGGGCTGGCTGGGCTCCCGGCGGCTTGTTAATGCACCGGGATCCCCAGGAGGAAGAAGGAAGGAAGGAGGAGGAGGAGGAGAGGTGGTGAGGCCCCGCCACCCTAGCCAGGCCTCCTGCGCCCTGACCCTGTGGGTGCTGCTGTGTGGGGCGCCTGGGGGAGCACCTCCATGCCCGGGACCCAGCCCCCTGAGACCAGGCTTTTAACAGCCACTGCCGGCGCCTCCCTAGTGCCACGCGGGCAGGCGGGCGGGCAGTCCTGCTGCTCGTGGTGGGTGGGTGGGGAGTGCATGGCCTGTCCCCCCGCAAGGTGCTCCCTGCCCCCCACACGCACTTTGACTCATAAGCTGAGTGGAGAGCACTTCCTGTGAGGAGGGGAAGGCGCAGCACCCATGGGTGTCTGACGGGTGCAAGAGTAGGTCCAGACGCCGGGGCTCCGTGGCTGAGCATCGACAGTGAACCAGGAGGTCATGGTTCAGTTCCCTCCCGGTCAGGGTACCTGCCCGGGTTGTGGGCTCCATCCCCAGTGTGGGGCGTGCAGGAGGCAGCCGCTCCATGATTCTCTCTCGTCATTGATGTTTCTGTCTCTCCCTCTCCCTTTCCTTTCCTCTCGGAAATAAATTTTAAAATATATGTTTGTTTTTTAAAAAGAAAGAAAACCGCCCCAGGGAGTGGGTGATGTACAAACATTTGGGGCTCAGTCAGGAGCCAGGGAAGCACTCAGTCCATTCTGGGCGGTGACAGCACAGAGGAGACTGCCGTCTCCAAGGAGGCGGGTGAGGAGGGAATGGCATTTCCTCCTGAACACAGCTCCGTGCTGCCCCCCCTCGGCGGAGGGCGGGGGAGTGGGTACCCCGTGCCAGTCCACGGGTGCCCCAGCTGGCCTTGCCAACCACCAAGCAAGCAGGGCAGTTCTGGTCCTTGGCCAGGCCGCTCCGAGCGTATCAGTGCCTGCCCTGCCTGGACGGGCCCTTCTGCCCTCCCCCCGCCCACTCCCCGCCTCCTGGAATGGGTGCAAAGGGTAGTTTTTTGTTTTGTTTTTTGTTAATATATGTTTATTGATTTTAGAGAGGAAGGGAGAGGGAGAAAGAGAGAAATATCCATGATGAGAGAGAATCATGGATCAGCTGCCTCCTGCACGCCCCACCCTGGGGACCGAGCCCACAACCCGGGCCTGTGCCCTGACCAGGAATCGAACCGTGATCTCCAGGTTCATAGGTCGAAGCTCAACCATGGAGCCCCAAAGGGTAGTTGCCTAGGCAGACTTCAGGGCAACCGGCCACCAGGCCCACAGCCCTGGGGAGACGAGCAGGATCCAGACCATTCTCCTGAGAACACTGGGTGTGAGCAGACATCACCCGCCGCCCAGGCCCCATCCCCCGAGCGGCACTGCGACCGGAGACCCCCAGGTGGCGTCGGCAGCACCCTCACATTTTCCCCGAGATGTCCCCTTCCTGGTGCTGGCTGCTGGCCGTCTGTTTTCCCAAACCCCCCCACTTGTTTACTTCGCTGGGGCTTTCACAGTCACCGACAGAGCTTGCCACCCTGGACTGTTGTTTGGGGCCGCGGGGCGACGCTCAGCCTCCTCGTCGCCGTGTTATTCTTCTGGCTGCTTCCGCTCTGCTTAGCACGCTCTGTGCTTTGGAAAGGAGCCAG